CCCCAAAACCCCAAAACCCCAAAACCCCAAAACCCCAAAACCCCTAAATTGATTTCTGACATTGAAGCGGTTATTGACTAAATGAACTGATGTTTGTCTTCACTCCAGCGAGTCAAATGTTTTTGGTTCCAAATACTAAGTATTATAGCAGCAGCTTACCTCACAGGCAAATATGCTTCACTTCTAAAGGTAAATGGTACGTTGATGGTTTCTGTAAAAATGTCTAATTTATGGAATCTAGTTGAAAAGCCCTAAAGATCACACTTAATGTTTACATCTCTATCTTCTAGTTCATCCAAGGTTTCATCATATTCGGTCTCTTGAATGTTGAGACCATCCTTGGTTACGTTCTGAGTGACCTTCATGATAGTATTGACTGGTGTGAGGCCGTTACCCTCTAAAGAATGACTAGCTTAAAGTACCGACAACCCCAAAGCAGTAAACTTCATTCTCAAATGTTTTGAAATTGTTGTACACTTTGAAGATTGGATGAGTTTCAAGGTCAGGAATATTCTTGCTCTTCCACCTCCTGTTATTTATAAAAATCTTCTAGTGTTTCCTGTGCTCAGTTAGCATGATAAATAATAGAGTTTTCGATTAGAACTCATGAATTGTTAAAGAACTGCTAATACCAAGAATAGTGAAATCGTACCTGACACCCGACTGTTGGGATCTCTATCTTTTCATAACTCATTGAAGGGGAACAAGAGTTGAGAACCGATCCAAACATTACGTATAGGTAGTTATCTATAGCGGATTGATTAAATCTGAAAGGGGAATTATCGAAATCTCTGTTACTATTGGCCTTACCCATAACAAAAGAAGCATGATGACTTCTGTTTTGGATCAAATCAGGACCTCTGAAAAGCGTGTCATTTGCTAAACTCAGGATCTCAAATGATCTATCTTCTCCATCGTTATGACTTCCTCCAGTGATAAAGATAAACTCTCTATTTGCAAATAATGAATGGTTCATCTTTGGGAAAGTTGTCTCTATAATTCCGAATATCCAAGTTTTCCTAGCACTCTGTTACACTCTTCAATCATGAGCTGCTTCTTCTTTATGATACATCTCTGGACATAGTCTTCAGTGAGGTTCTTAATCTGGGTTTCCACTATCTCATGAGCATCTCAACTTACCTGTGCTGAGTTGTTTCTGGGCATGGCCACGTTCAGCTGCCCAGGAGTCAAGGTCATCATCGCTATCAATTTTCTCTTCTTCAAAATTTTCTTCTCCTTCTTGCTCATTTTCTTTCTCTTTATAGTAACTCTCTGCTTTTTCAGCTGCCTTTTTGGATTCTTGTTCGATGTTTTTGAGGACGAGGTTCTAAGTTTAGTTAATACAAAGATTTACCAAATTTGAGTCAGAGAACACCTCTCTTATTTCTTCCTCTGTGATACCTTCTGGGTGCTTCATTATGTAGCTTGAAGCAATTAGAATCTTGTTACGGAGCATTTCTGATGTCTCCCTGTGGAAGCTTAGACAATCCAAAAGAGAGAAATGTAAGAAATTCACCCAGAATAAACTCTTAAGGAGCTCGAATAAGCTTTAGAGTATAGCATGTGGCAATTTAGCATTTCTTACCCAAAGAAAGGCCCTGATATGTTTTTCTCCTCTAAATCTTTCTTGAACTTGACCGCTGCAGCTTCAGTCTCCAGTCTGAAATCTTTGTTTCTCATCATTTGCTTAGCTTTTAGTTTTTCTTTGATGTCAATGATCTCATTGAGGATATTGATGACCTTTTCTTTCTCATTAAATTCATTATTGGAAGTGTCTAAAGCTAAAAATTGTGCTAAATACCCGTTCTGAGTCTAAAAATTATGAAATAATCATACTTACCTGAACAAAGTGCTGGTCTTGTCGAATAAGTCGAATTCTTTTACTGCATCAACCGTATACTTTCAATATACTTGTTTGATGATCGGTCTTCCACTCTCACCAGTTGTCATATGGCGGATAGACTTATTTGTCTTACCTCCAATGATATAGGTCTTTCCTCTCACTGGGGTACGAATCACTTTAAAAGCAAACTGAGCTTTGTGATCATCATCATTGGGGTCAGGGAGTTTATCAGGCCTGATAGCCTGAATTCCTTCAGAATCAAGATTTGCATAAAAGTGATCTGAAGGCGTTGCCTTATCTTCATCATCAGGGTTGATCTTGATCGCCCTGAAATGATCATCTTTCTCCCTTTTCTCAATGAACATAAGAGAGTTTGCACACTCGATTGAGATATCAACGTCATACCTCCCTCTCTTCATTTCTTTGTATTTCAATGTAGAGTCACTGATCTGGTTCAGGTGCCTGAACCTGAACTGGGAGAAGACAAGGAAATTAAGAGTAGTGCCAATATCCTCAAGAATCTTGCAGAACTTTATAAGCTTACTCCGATCTAAAGATTCGATATCTATAAGCCTAAAGCACTCAATGCTAAATCTGCTGTACTTCTTGCAATCTTGAAGAGTATGTTCTTTCGAATGTAGGAGCTAAGAGGGTCAAAAATGTACATACCTGGAGCTTCTCTTGCTCTCTTCTTCTGAAAGTAATCATTAAGAAATTATTCTTGATGGAGGTGACAAATTTAGCAATGCCCTTTATGGCAGATTTTCCATCTATATTTTTAATTTGGCAAGTACCACTGAAGGCGTTTGGATCTGACGTCAATTTTGAAGCGATATTGGTGCCTAAAGTATTGGTAAAAAGAGTTTTAAAGGAATTTACTCAGTTTTAGAGTAAGGATCTGAGCATTTTAGAGCAAGGAGCGAAGCTTTCTGGGGGATTAGACAGGTTTTGGGATTAGAGGAGGTTTTAAGCGAGGTTTAGCCCTTATTGGGGAACGAAATAGAGTGAAAGCACGGATTGTCGTTTGTAAGTAAATTGGAGCTATTTGGAGAGAATTTTGGCTTAGATTATGATTTGATGTTGAGTAGGAGATGTATTATCATTTTTCTAGAGGTTTGCCAAATTTTGAATAAATAAGAGCTTAGGAATGAATAAAATCTATGGAGTTTCTTATAAATCTTCAGAACTATACACAGAATTATTGAGATTGTTCTAGTTTCATTCCTTTCCAACAATTAAGACTAGGTATTAGCAACTACATTGGCATTTAAGATCTCATGGTAGTCTAGCTTAACATGATCTAATCAAAACTTTCAAACATATGTCAGATATTCCATGGTAAAATATAGAAGCAATATAATTCAAAAGGCAGGCTAGATTACTTTTGCTTGAAGGAATACTTCTAGCAGCCGAACGGTTGCTTCTATCATCACTGGTGGCTACTTCTTTAACCTCTTCTAGAGATTCCTGGTTACTTTTGGACTGGATTTGGTTATTATAAATATGGTTTTTCTGAGCCTCTTTTAGCTCACGGAGTTCTTTTTCTAATGGTTCTATCTGCTTGATCTTCTCATCACTAAGGAGTTACTCTTAGTACGTACATAATTTCAAGGTTTTCTTTTGAAATGAACTTTCTGAGATCTTGGATGTGATTTTGGTTGTAAATCCTGATAAAAATATTGGAGCTGGTGAAAACCTTAAAGGCATGCAGGAAGCGTTCCCACCTCTTTTGCCTCTCAGGGTCCTCAGGATGCTTTATATTAGAGTTGTTATTTGTCCCTTCTTGTGGTTCTTCTTGTGGTTCTTTTTGTGGTTCTTCTTGTGGTTCTTTTTGTGGTTCTTCTTGTGGTTCTTTTTGTGGTTCTTCTTGGGATTCTTTTGAGTCTTTCTCGTCTGAAGTTTCCTTGGTCTCTTCGATGGGTTCTTCAATGGGCTCTTCTTTAACCTCCTCCTTTAATTCTTCCTTTTCGTCTTCCTTTTGATATCCGAGATATTGCTGGAGAAGATAAATTAAGTCATAGCTAGAGAGATTAGAAGGGAAATACTTCATGTTGATTCCTTTGTTCAAGATTTCTAAATTTTAACTCTCAGAGTTACCTTTGATTCTTCTTCTAAAGAGAGTTAGAGAGGAGCTTACTTTGCATCCTTTGAGATTTCCTTACTGTGCTGGTCAAATCTTTGGACTGGAGGCTTCCTCATTTCTAGGTCTGAAGAGGAAGGATCGAATTCACATCCATTCCTACATGCTCCGATAGGCTTGTTGTTGTGTTTGCACCATTTGTCAACATAACATTCATAGCAGTAGAGGTTTCGCTTACCAAGACATGCACTTTTAATGCAGAGAAAGAAGGGTTCCTTTACAAAATCGTCACAAATGCAGCATCTGAGGAGCCTCAAATTCTTTCGCTCTTTCTTTGTATATCTATACCAATAAATCTTCGAAATTTTATTCCGAGTAACTTAAAAGATTCCGTTCAGATATAAAATAGGGATACTCAAGAAATCAAGAGATCTCGGAGTTCCACAAAGGAGAAAAGTAGAAACTTACTCAGATCCGATCTCGAAGTGCTCTTCTTGCTCTTCATCATTTACTTCCTCTTCTTCAGGAATGTTTCCCTATAATGCGTGAGATAAAATTATTTGGATGTGCTTACGCTCATTTCCATATCTTCATGCTTAACAAGTTCATCATAAATAAACATTTTGTCACAGGAAATGCATGGGAACTTTCTCTTCTTAAGTCTGTTATAAAATTGCTTTCTATTATCTATACAAATATTAAGAATAGTTCTTGCCTAACTCGAGTTCATGCTCAACTCAATCTTCGAGTTCGCATTTTCTTTTTTCTATTTTCTCCAATTTCTTTCTATTTTCCTTTTACTTTTTGTCTGACTTGGGTGATGATGAGATTACATTTACGCTCTTCAGCTCCTCAATAATAGTGCTTAATACCGACTAGAAGTCATTATAAATCCTTACTGTCGTTGCTTTTCATGCACGTGTAGAGTCCAACTTTGAATTTTCCATTATCCCTAGGAGATAAGTTTGGTGCTTACTCTTTAAACTTAACCATCCTGCTGCAGTTCTTGCATCTGTACGCCTACAAGATAGAGTTGAAACTTTACTTCAGATAAGATATCCTTTTCCATATTTGTCTTAATAATTTTTAACAATTTAATAGACTTGGCTGGGGTTTTGGGGTTTTGGGGTTTTGGGGTTTTGGGG